CCTCCCCTCCATCCCCGCCCCTAAACGCCTCAGCCCTTACTACTAAATTTGACTCTCTTTCTGTCTTGCTTTTGTATTTCTCAGGTTTCCCATCACATAAGTATGGTCCTTTCCAAAACAGTTTTGATTATGTAGAGACATAACTTGTTATTCTTCTGTTCCCAGTGTGCCTAACTGGGGGGTTAAAAGTATTTTTCACTTGATAAGTTGGGTTTGTACAGACAAAGTAGTTGCATGTTTGAATTTCTTATTAATTAGCATGTTGCTAACTGAACTAGCTGGCCAGTCACTGATTAGTATCATTGATTATCCATGATTGATAACTTCAGTTAATTCAATTAAAACAATACTACTGGTCAACTACTTTGCATCCATTAAATTAGCAGAAATAAATTCTGATGATAATATCTAGTGTTGTCAGGTTGTGGTGAAATTTGTACCCTTCTACTCTGCCCGTACCCGTTACCATCGAGTTGGTTCCGATTCATAGTGACCCTATAGGACAGAGTAGAACTGCCCCATAGGGTTTCCACGGAGCAGCTGGTGGAGTCGAACTGCCAACCTTTTGGTTAGCAGCCCAGCTCTTAACTATGAACCAGCAGGGCTTTCTACTCTGCTGGTGGCATTTAAACTAGTGTGACAACTGATAATGAGTAATGAGAAAGCCACGTGCCAGATGTTCATGTCTTTTGACCCAACAATTCCATTCCTGGGACTGCTAAGGATATTATGCAAGAGACCAAAATCATTATGCATAAAGATATTCAGTGCAGTACTATTTGAGTAAGGAAATAGGAACAATTTAAAGGCTAGGGATATGGTTTAGAAATCAATGTTCACCAAAGCAGTAGTTTATTATGAAGTTATTAATAATACAAGGAGCTTTGGTGGCACAACAGTTAAGCACTTGGCTGCTTACTGAAAGCATTTGAACCCACCCAGCTGCTCCTGGGGAGAAAGACCTGGCAATCTGCTTCTGTAAAGATGAGAGCCAAGAAAACCCTATGGAACAGTTCTCTGTCACATGGCGTTGCTATGAGTCGGAATTGACTCAATGGCACCTAATAACAACAATAATAATAAAGACCTGAAACATGGGGAATATTTTTTAAAATTCTAAGAAAAGTAAAATATGTATAACTATGATTGCAGCTACATAACAGACACATCTGTGGATGGGACTCGAAGATAATATACAAAAAGGGGAAGCAGCTGTGTTTAAGTGATGGGATTGTGGGTGATTTTTTTTTCCCAAGATTTTTTGTTAACTTTTTTCTAAAGTATGTAAGTAGAGCATATTCATTGTAGGAAAATTAGAAAATATATATAAGAAAAGCCAATATAACACTGATATCAAAACCAGACTGAGTTCAGAAAGAGAAAATAGAGACCTCACTGGTATCAAAGTAAAAAATATATTAGCAGAAAATATTTGGCAATATTTTTTAATTATACCATGAGGAAGAAACATAAAGATGATTCAGTATTAGGACTCTATTAAAATAATCTACCATATTATAACTAAAAGGAGAAAAAATTAATGAGATTACATCAAATAGAGAACACATTTGACAAAATTCAATACCCATTCCTGATTGCAAAAAGAAACCAGTAAAATAGAAATAGATATTTTATTGACATAAAAATAGACATCTCAAACCAAAAGTCAGCATCATACTTAAACATCAGAAGTATTCCCATTAAAATGAGCAAACGGATGTTCACTATCAACACTATTACTCAATATTTTTCTGGAACTACTAGTCATCACAATTAGGAAAAACAGGTAAGAAAATTTGAAAAGAAGAAGCAAAATATATCATTCATTTCTTGCAGCTGATATGATGGTATATCTAAAAAATCCAAGGTCAACTGGAAAACAGTTTAAAACAAGATAGCTAGGAGACTCATTATCGAGTTAATGAATAAACTGAAAGTGTCTCTATAAACAAATGACCAGTTAAAATAGAAGAAAATATTTCTCTTTACAACAGCAATTAAAATGAAAAAAATATGAAATTAAGTAAATATGAAAGATCTACATAAAGAAGGTTTTAAAATTCTAAATGATATAAAAATCCACTAAAATAACTGGAAAGACGATTATTCTTGAATAGTAAACATATTTTGTAATCTTTCCAAATTAATCTATAAATTAAATATAAACCTGATTAAAATACCAACAGGCTTAGTTTAGGGAATTTAACCAAAACAAACACGGGAGGCAGTCTTAGAATAAATAATGAGAAGAGAAGCACATCAAACAATAACAATATAAAGTGAAATGCCTGTAATTTAAAAGGTACTAGAGAAGAAATTGGCAACTTAATGGAAGAGGACTCAAGAGACCCCAAAACCGGTTCACTGTACAGTAGAGGTTGGTATATACAAATAGTGAATGATGTCGGGCTAACCAGTGGCTGTTTGCAAAAATATAAAGCTGGAGCTCTCCCTCAATCGTTCCATTAAAATCAATTTCAGAGAGATGAAAGATTTAAAATGGAATGTGTTTAAGCAGGACACAAAACATAAATTTGATGTCAAAAAGATTTCAAACCAAAAAAAAAAAAAAGATTTTAAACTGAAAAAAAGCCACAATTAAGTCAAAAGACAAAGGACAAAGGGGAGAAATATTTACAATATATGACTGCCACATCGTTCTCCCACAGAGCAGCTAGTGGGTTTGAACTGCTGACCTTTTGGTTAGCAGCCAAGCACTTAACTACTGCTCCACCAGGGCTCCTAAGAAAAGTATACACTGTAATTATTGTCTTCTGAATAGTCCACACTGTTAATACTTCAACACTGTAACAAATACTATTACACATGGTCAGGGTAACCAAGTTCTGGTGAAGCAGATGTTTTTGCCAATAGAAAGCAATTTTTTAAGAAAATGAATATAATAAACTATTTTAAATTAAAACTCTATAGACGTGATGATTCCAAAAATACCAGCAATACCTTTACATTGATAAATAAGAGGCTATTTTCCCTTTATATGTATATACATATATACACGTGTGTGGGTATGTACTGTGTGTATTCTGCATGAAATATAAACTAAGGTTGGGCTGAGGAAGGAGAAAGAAAATGCTATTTTTTACCTTTCTGTACTGTGTGCATTTTTACTGTGCACATGTATTATTTTCTAAAAATACAAGAAATTTTAAAAACAAAATGTATGTGCAAAACAACACAGGCAATTGCAACACAGATTTATATTCTGACAATTTACATATATATATATTTGTAAATAACATTAAATGTGCACTAAAACAAATCCTGTCTCTTTTATTGCAGGGTATTATCATAGGAGCATTAGCCTGTTTCATCCATGTCCAAGCCCATGAGTCGTTCATAGCAATCACAGTTCTGGAAACCTGCATCGTCATTTTTTTTATTCTAACATATATGATAGCCCTGCACCACTTGCTGACTTGTTTACATTGGCCCTTACTTGTAAGTGTTCGTTTTCATAATTCGAATATAAGCCTTTCCCTCAATCCTAAAGGTTCTCCTCAAAGTGAAACAACAGAGCTCTCTCTCTCTGGACAAGGACATAACCGAGCTGTGACAGTTAGGAGTTGTCCTGTCCCTTGGGGAGAAAATAGCCTAACACCCAGAATGAGTCCTTGAAGTGCACTGTCCTCAGGACAACCAAGGCGAACTCCCATTTCCAGCTCAGAGTATAAAGCCCATCTCACCGTGGCACGTGGTACTTTTCATCTTGCCCTAAATAATATTTCAATTAGTATATTCAGTAGGTAAACACACTTCTCACCCATGGCTTGTAAAACAGTGCATGCTTCTACTTTGCAAACATCCACCCCAAAAGCAAGAGTCAATATGACAGAGTTGTAGAAAAATTGCCACCCATACCTTGAAAAGTTGTAAGAGTCAACCTTTTTGTGTTGGTTGAGGGTCCTTACTCCCAAAGGGCTGCCATATGGTGGAGCACACAGGAAAAGACACTGCACAGCCTCCTGCAGTAGCCATTTCCAGAATTTCACATTCTTTACCAATTGAGGAAACCCTCGTGGCATAGCGGTTAAGCACTACAGCTGCTAACCAAAGGGTTGGCAGTTTGAATCTGCCAGGAGCTCCTTGGAAACTCTACGGGGCAGTCCTACTCTGTCCTATACAGTCACTATGAGTCGGAATCAACTTGAGGGCAACGGGTGTTTTTTTAACCACTTGAAAAATTCCCAAAGCAAATCCCTTGGGTCTCAGATAAAGCCTGTTTATTCTGGAGCCTGCAGATCTGTATCCTCCACGGACTAGAGAGGCAGTTCGGCTGCGTAGTTAGGAGCATGGGTTTTGTCCAGAGACAGACATGGGATCCAGTTACTGGTCCTGTCCCTTTACTAGCCATGTGACCTTTTCCTCCTCTGCATTTCATAGATGGGGAAACGAGGCTTAACGGTCACATGGCCTTTGGTCAACTCTGATAACCAACTTCCCTTGCTGCCTCTGCCCTTGGAAGGGAGCGTTCTCCTTTCTTTGGATGACTATGGGAGCCCAAAGGGTGAAACAGATGCTCAGAGGGCCTTGCCTTTTTCTTGCTACTGTCCTCCAGGGCCAGGGCCTGGCACAGAACATGGATATGCCTGGTGAGCTCCTAGGAGCTTCACAGTATGGCATCTCTGTCTCACCAAGAAGGTTGCCCAGTTATTCTGATACTCAAGTACCTAGCAGTACACACACTAAGCATCCCCACAGTCAATCAAATGGTGAGTGATCTATTTGACTTGGAAGTCTTTGAAAAATGCCCATCAAAATAGGGCCCAAACTGTGTTCTCTTCCCCTATGTAGTCCCTTCCTTTCTACTCTGCCCTTTCAGACTCCATGAGATGGAGGACACGTGCATAGAATTTTGCTCAGCGAGGCAAGTAGCTACCACTGGGTGGTAGTGGGGAGGCCTTGGTATGGCAGGCCATGCACTAGTTGAGTGAGAGCATTGGTGCCTGGGAGGTGACTATTTGGCACTTGAGTGTGTAGACTTGGAGACCTGAGCATCAAGCTGCAAGAAACTCCTGGGACCTTATCAAGAGGTCAGAGTGGGAAGCCACAGAACATACCGCCTGCATAATCCTGGAACTGTTTCAGTGCTCGCTCAGGATGGAGATGTCCAGTGTGCTCAGCTGCCACTGCCTTTCATCTTTTTTCTCCAGACAAGATGGTTTGGTGCTCAGGAGGTGTAGGATTCAGGTGAGCAGTACTGATTTCCTTCAAGGCTCACCCCAAGGATAGCATCCCCTACTCCCATTCTTGTTTGACAAAGGGGTGAGGGCCAGGGTCCCACCAGGGAAGGAGATGGAAAGTCCGATAAATCTGGGCTTCAGACCCTCATAGGGCAGCCTCAAAGAGTACTGACCTCAGACACAGTGACCTGCTGAGACCTGTGGGTTCTAGGACCACATTGGGCAGTTATGGCAGGACCATCTCCGGGCAGATGATGGAGCTTGGGCTTGAGGACTCACACCCCAGGCTCTGAGTTGTGGCTGCCCGCTTCTGTGAAGGCTGTGCTGGCACCCTGACAGTAGGAGCCCTGACACTACTAAGGAGGGTGTGGGTCCAGCTCTCAGCCCCTGTCCTGACTCTACGTCAGCGTTAGCAAGAGGACAAATTTCCACACGCCACCCATGGTGGAGCCACTGTCTTCATTTTTAAGGTTAGCAACTTTACCCACCCAGGTCCAGGGTCAAAAGAAGCCCTGGTAGTGCAAGCAGTTAAGTGCTCAGCTGCTAACTGAAAGGGTGGTAGTTCAAACCCACCCAGCAGCTTCACAGGAGAAAGACCTGGTGATCTGCTCCCATAAAGATTACAGCCCTATGGGGCAGTTCTACTCCATCATATGGGGTCACTGTGAGTCAATATCAACTCAACAGCATCTAACAACAACAGTCTAGGGTCATCTGCCAACATGCCCAAGAAACTCGTTGCCGTTGAGTCGATTTCAACTCATAGCAACTCTATAGGACAGAGTAGAACTGCCCTATGGGGTTTCCAAGGCTGTAATCTTTACAGAAGTGGACTGCCACATTGTTCTCCCACAGAGCAGCTAGTGGGTTTGAACTGCTAACCTTTTGGTTAGCAGCCAAGTGCTTAACTACTGCTCCACCAGGGCTCCTAAGAAAAGTATACACTGTAATTATTGTCTTCTGAATAGTCCACACTGTTCATACTTCTACACTGTAACAAATACTATCACGCGTGGTCAGGGTAACTTGAGTTCTGGTGAAGCAGATGTTTTTGCCAATAGAAAGCAATTTTTTAAGAAAATGAATATAATAAACTATATTTTAAACTAAAACTCTATAGACATGATAATTCCAAAAATACCAGCAATACGTTTACATTGATAAACAAGAGGCTTTAGAATGTCCCACTTCAAATAAGATTAATGAAAAACAACAGTTCTGGTGGTTTCCAATCAGGCTTTGCCATGTGTTCAGCCAACTCCAGGCATGAGCAAAACCAATGAAACAAATAGTAAATATTTACTTTTTTTCCTAATATTCAGTGAGTTTTAAAAATAAGCATTCACCATTAAAATATCTCTTTCCTTCCAACTTATAATTCTATACAATTTTGTGTATCTCAGAGAACAGTTGGGAAGAACAATGGGAAAATAATAGTCAAGCAACAACCCATCTCTCATTTTAGTCAGAGGAGACTACTTGAGTCAGTGGGGTATTTAGTGGAGGAAAGAAAAGGATGATCAGTAAGGACAACTAATGGGACACATTTATGGGGAAACTCAGAGTCCTATCATACATGGCAAGGCTCAGCTGCAATTGTACCCCAGGCATCAGGGAGAACATAGCTCTCTCTCTGTCCAGATGAGGCCAACAAGAGGGTCTGTGCCCAAGGCCAAAGGAGGGAGGTGGGTCAGAAACGAGGCCTCAGGCACTCAAGTCAGATTGCTGGGGGCATATCTACTTACTGGCTGAGCAACCCTGGGCCTGTTGCTTACCCATCTGTAAAGTGGGGAGAATGAGAATTTGTTGTGAGAATCAAATGAGATGATGTATTAATACCTTGGCACAGTGTATGACCCGTAGTAAGTGCTCCAGAAAGGTGAGCTTTAGTAGAAATGTTAGGTACAAGGCAAACCTTAACTCCAAAGGACAGTTCCAGAGATCAGTTCCTTGGCAGTGAGGACCAGAGTAAACTATAATGTCTAGTAGTCCAGTGAGGAGACAGAATCATGACAGCCAGTTCAAGATCAGCTAAGTCTGGTGGGTTTATGATTATTATCATTATTAATGTGCTTTCATTCAAATTCTCAATGATCTATGACCACAGCTAATGAATTTTGATTTCTAAAAGTTTACATTCTGCTTCTTAGTTGTAAAAGTCATTCACATCTTTCAATATCTTAGTGTACACAGTCCTCAGGTATTAAGCTTCCTGTAGACTTGCAACCTGCTGTACCTGCCCTAGTCAGCCCTGCCCACTGTGGGCAGACCTTCAGTATGGTGTGACCTGCAGAACCCAGCTAGGGCTTACTGCCAACCCCCACCTGCCCTGCTCCATGTCACCCTTCCACTGTTACCTACCAGGCACCTAAACAGTAGACATTAGTGCCCTTCCAAGAGGCAAGCTGCATTCCACAGTAGGTTCGTTGCTTGCTCACCAACCTCAACAGGAAGAATACTGGTGTTTGCACAAAGTTTATTAACTGTGCATATTTTGAGGGTATATATCACGAAGCTATATTCTGATGCACTCCCACTACCCAATAGATGCCAGGTACCTTATCAGATGCTTTCAGACCCACTATGCCATTTAATCCTAAACCCAGTCATTGTCCCCATGTTAAAAATTAGCAAGTTGGCATGGAAGGGTGACAACCCATGCCTCAGGTCACACATCTACAAGTTGGCAGAGCAAAAGAGGTAATCAACAAAAAACACTCTCACCTTATTTTTTCCATGCCATTTTGACCCTCCATAACCGATTTTACAGAAAATGCCAAAAATGGATGCTGTACTTCCAGCCTCTTCAGTTGTTCCTAACAGAAATCCCTGGGTGGCACCAACACTTAAGTACTCAGCTGCTAACCAAGAAGTTGGAGGTTCGAGTCCACCCAGAGGTACCTGGGAAGGCCTGGTGATCTACTTCCAAAAATTCAGCTATTGAAAACCCTATGGAGCACAATTCTACTCTGATACATATGGGGTCGCCATGAGTTGTAATTGACTTGATGGCAACTGGTTTTATATGGGAGGCAACAGTTAGTTGAGTTCTGACTCCACTCCTTAGCAGTTATTCAATCTTAGGCAACTTCACAAACTTCTCAAAGCCTCCATTTCACCCTCTCTGAAATGGGGATAACAGCAATACTGACTTTGGAAGATACCGGTGGGATATGCTTGGCACAGTGAAGAGCACCCCTGTTGTTGTTAGGTGCTGTTGAGTTGGTTCCACACATAGAGACCCTATGTACAACAGAAAGAAACACTGCCCGCTCCTGCGCCTTCCTCACAATCATTGCTGAAGCCACTGTGTCAATCCATCTCATTGAAGGTCTTCCTCTTTTTTGATGACCCTCAACTTTACCAAGCATGATGTCCTTCTCCAGGGACTGGTCTCTCCTGATAACACATCCAAGGTGTGTGAAACAAAGTCTCACCATCCTCGCTTCAAAGGAGCATTCTGGCTGTACTTCTTCCAACACAGATTTGTTTGTTCTTCTGGCAGTCCGTGGTATATTCAATATTCTTCACCAACACCATAACTTAAATGCATCAATTCTTCTTCAGTCTTCCTTATTCATTGTCCAGCTTTCACATACACATGAGGTAATTGAAAATACCATGACTTGGGTCAGGCACACCTTAGTCCTCAAAGTCACATCTTTGCTTTTTAACACTTTAAAGACGTCCTTTGCAGCACATTTGCCCAATGCAATGCATCATTTGATTTCTTAACTGCTGTTTCCATGGGCGTTGATTATGGATCCAAGTAAAATGAAATCCTTGACAACTTCAGTATTTTCTCTGTTTATCATGATATTGCTTATTGGTTCAGTTGTGAGGATTTTTGCTTTCTTTATGTTGAGGCGTAAAGACTCAAAGACTGTAGTCTTTGATCTTCATCAGTAAGTGCTTCAAGTCCTCTTCATTTGCAGCAAGCAAGGTTGTGTCACTGCATATCGAAAGTTGTTAATGAGTCTTCCTCCAATCCCGATGCTGCGTTCTTCTTCATACAGTCCAGCTTCTCAGATTATTTGCTCAGCATACAGATTGAATAAGTAAGGTGAGAGGATACAACCCTGGCGAACACCTTTCTTGACTTTATACCATGCAGTATCCCCTTGTTCCGTTCAAACGACTGCCTCTTGGTCTACATACAGATTCCTCATGAGCACAATTAAGTGTTCTGGAATTCCTATTCTTCGCAATGTTATCCATAATTTATGATCCACACAGTCGAATGCCTTTGCATAGTCAATAAAACACAAGCAAACATCTTTCTGGTATTCTCTGCTTTAAGCCAAGATCCATCTGACATCAGCAATGATATCACTCATTCTACTTCCCTTTCTGAATCCACCTTGAATTTCTGGCAGTTCCCTGTCGATGTACTGCTGCAACCATTTTTTAATTATCTTCAGCAAAATTTTCCTTGTGTGTGATATTAATGATATTGTTCAATAATTTCCACATTCTGTTGGATCACTGTTCTTTGGAATGGGTACAAATATGGATCTCTTCCAGTCGGTTGGCCAGGTAGCTGTCTTCCAAATTTCTTGGCATAGACAAATGAGTGTTTCCAGCATTGCAGCCATTTGTTGGTTTGTTGAAACATCCCAGTTGGTATTCTGTCAATTCCTGGAGTCTTGTTTTTCGCCAATGCCTTCAGTGCAGCTTGGACTTCTTCCTTCGATACTATTGGTTCTTGATCATATGTTACCTCCTGCAATGGTTGAACATCAACCCGTTTTTTTGGTACAGTGACTCTATGTATTTCTTCCATCTTCTTTTGATGCTTCCTACGTCGTTCAATATTTCGCCCATAGAATCCTTCAATATTGCAACTCGAAGCTTGAATTTTCTCTTTAGTTCTTTTAGCTTGAGAAATGCTGAGCGTGTTCTTCCCTTTTGGTTTTCTACTGCCAGGTCTTTGCAATTTCATTATAATACTTTACTTTGTTTTCTCAAGCTGCCCTTTGAAATCTTCAGTTTAGCTCTTTTACTTCATCATTTCTTCCATTTGCTTTAGCTACTGTATGTTCAAGAGCAAGTTTTAGAGTCTCTTCTGACATCCAGTTTGGTCTTTTCTTTCTTTCTTGTCTTTTTGATGACCTTTTGCTTTCTTCACATGTGATGTCCTTGATATCATCCCACAACTCACCTGGTCTTTGGTCATTAGTGTTCAATGTGTCAAATCTGTTCCTGAGATGGTCTCTAAATTCAGGTGAAATATATTCAAAGTCGTACTTTGGCTCTCGTGGACTTGTTTCAGGTTCTTCAGCTTCAACTTGAACTTGCATATGAGCAATTAATGGTCTGTTCCACAGTCGGCCCGTGGCCATGTTCTGACTGATGATATTGAGCTCCATCGTCTCTTTCCACACATGTAGTCGATTTGATTCCTGTGTATTCCATCTGGAGAGGTCCATGTGTATAGTCGCTGTTTATGTTGTTGAATAAATGGAATCTCCAACAAATAGGTCACTGGTCTTACAAAATTCTATCATGCAATCTCTGGCATCATTTCTATCACCAAAGCCATATTTTCCAACTAGGGATGCTTCTTCTTTGTTTCCAACTTTTGTATTCCAATCACCAGTAATTATTAATGCATCTTGATTGCATGTTTGATCAATTTCAGACTGCAGAAGTTGGTAAAAATCTTCAGTTTCTTCATCTTTAGCAGCAATTATTATTATATACACTGGGTGGCAGGGGTCCTTGATGTCTTTGGGCTAGTGCACCAGACTGGATGCCACTACCAAGTCAGGCCATCATGACTTAAAGACTTAAAATGCTCAAACTAGGTATCCTATTGTGGTTACATAACCCTGGACTTTTGACTCTCCCCACTAACATGTTGATTCCCTCTCCTAAATTATTGCTCTGCTAGTAAAGCCCAGCCTCCACCAACTCATCCTCACCCTTAATTTCAGTACATAAAGAAGCAGGTTGGGCTGGCAGCTAAAGAACCCAATGTTGAAATCCAAAATGAAGGACACAAAACAGCCTCTAGACGTCGGGACAGACTCAACTCTGGCCATGCCTCAGGAAAGAGCAAAGGTCAACAGCACAGCCATTCACACCAAAATGTCAGGCCTGAGCCTCCCATTGGTTTGTGCATTCTTGGGATGTTCAAAACCACAGAAAAGTGCGTGGTCCAACTTCCAGAGTATTGGTTTTACCTGCAGATCTGGGAGTGGAATTAAATCAGTAACTACAGTGTTAATCTAAAATTTTATTCTTATATAAAAACAAGTGTGTTATGAAATAGAATGCTGAATTCACATTAATTTAAAACATAAAACTTCAAAAAAATTGTATTATGGGGGGCCTTTTTGGACTAGGCCCCTACACCTCTAGGTATTTTTATGCTCACGTTCTTCTGCCCTTTAAGAAAAATCTGACAGACAAGTTTGAGAAACAGTGTTGTCAGTTTTTTGCTTTGTTTTGTTTTGTTTTTCTTTAATGAAGTTAAACCCATTTCTGCAGACAAAGTCCTATTCAGGACCTCAAAATCACATACACTCACGCCTCTGAAAGATGTAAGAATTATGCCTCTCAGGTTCTTCTAAATCCAAGTGAATGTTTTTAAAAAGATACCCATTCTTAGATGGGCAATTGACCACTTTAAATGTTTTATGGAATGACATTTTCATGTAAAGTTGAGAATTTTCAATTCTGTGTTACAGGATCTTATCAACAGTATCATTACAGCTGTGTTCCTTTTCATAGTTGCCATCTTGGCGATGCAAGAAAAGAACAGAAGGAAGTTGTTTTATACTGGAGGGGTAAGTACAGGCCTTCGTGACTCCAGTTAAGATCAGGATCCCAAGGCTCTTTGAAAAGGGAAAGTGGCAGGCCACTGTTATTTTATTTCTAGAACAAACTCCCCACAACCACCCCATCTTTCCCTTGCACTGACTTCCTCAGAAGATGTAAAGTTGCACAAGCTAAGATCATGAAAATCTTCATTCTAATACTCATTCTCCAAATAGGTACAAAAAGAAGAGTCTATTAAACCTCTTTTGAGAATCATACATACTTGTTTCTGAAATTTTGGAGCAAAATGTTCTAGTCTAGCAACAGGACTTTGTTTTTTTCTGGACTAGAGAACTGTATTTTAAAGGCAGATGAAAAGAGTGATTGTAAAGGAAAAACGTGCATTGTCAAAACTGACTAGCCTAGCCTATTTGAGAAGGAAGGGAGGAAGGAAGCTACACAAGGTGAAGTGGCCAGTATATGCCTCACACCAGACTAGGCACATTCTAACACTCTTTACAACTCTCATTTTCACAGGTCTGGGAACTGAGGTTAAATGCTTGCCCTGGGCCACAAGCCTGGGACAAAAGGAACTCAAACCCTCATCATATGGAAAAGCACGAGAAATGGCAGATTAAATGTTTGGAAAATGGGGGGAAGGGGTGGCCAGGCTAAACAATGGGGACAGAAATTAATCAAGGAAAAAAGTTTAAATTCTATGAATTCATTCCATAATCAGTAAATATTTATCAATCCCATAGGACTGTGCCAGCCATGATCGCCATGCTGGGAAATGAGTCCCTTCCCTGGGGGAGCTCACAGATTAGCTGGGGCAAGACCTAACTAGGAGAAGTTCATTAAGCAGCCAGAGACTAAGTGACCATAAGAGAAACATACAAGCCAATCAGGTGCGGCCAAGCACTGGGAATCTCGGATGCTGTGGGCTGCTGGTCCCCAACTGCTAGCTCAGCTCTTGAGCCTTCTCCTCCCTGCCTGGGGCTCCCATCCCCAGGTCTCTATCAACTCTTAACTGCATGGCAGCAGCTCCACCCCCTCCCCCCCATCTTCTGCCCTCTACCCCCAGGTCCCGGCCTCCATTCACTTCATGGCCACTGCAGCTGGGCTTTCTGAGTCTCGCACCTGACCTCAACCCTCAGCCCTCACCATCATCCTTTGGGGAGAGTTCCATAACCCATGCCTCTCCAGCCTCAACTCTGCCCCTTCCTTCACTGGCTCTAGGGGTCTTTGCCATACCAGATTCCTAACCCACCTCCCATGCCTGGAGTTCCCCTCTTCCCAGTCGGTGTCCTTGGAAACTCCTTCCTGCCCTTTCAAACACAGCCCAAGAGTTCTTTCCACTTAGAAGCCTTCTCAGGACCCACCCCGTCCTGAACCCTTATGACCAGCGCCCTTCCCTGGTGCCTCAGCATCTGTTGAGGCCACTATTGGTAGCAGGACCCACCACTTCCCAAATCCCCTCTCTTTGCTCTGGGAAAGGCAGAATGGGCCTGCAGCAGCCAGTTAGGCAGACACAAAGCTGGGAAGGAGGGTCAGAGGCAGTGGCATCACTAGGGTCGGTGTCACACAGTTCAGTAACTCATGGCGTCACCCCCTCCCCATAGACCTTCTCTGTACCAGACCATACAGAATACTTAGTAATGTTTTTTGTACTAAGGTTACTGGTAAATTGTAATTCCTGTATATCACTCCTTCTTTTCCTTTAATTACTATTTTGGTCTCAAAAAAGTAATAGATATAGGTTCACAAATACTAATTACTACAATATTGTAGCTAACAAACCAGAAAATTTGATAAAATCAGTGACTATAAAAAACCAGAAGCAGAGGCGGAGCCAAGATGGCAGAGTAATCAGACGCTTCCTGTGGTCCCTCTTACAACAAATACCCAAAAAAACAAGTGAATCGATTATATAGGACAATATAAGAGCCCTGGAAATCAAAGGCAAAGTTGAGGAATTGGACTGAGTGGCAGGGGGAGGGAGAAACAGTTCGGAAGCAGTGAGGAGTTGCCAGACCTGATCCAGCAGGAGGTGGCACCCTTCAGGCCAGATCAGATGGTGTGCACAGTGAGGCAAGTAGTGGCACTCAGGAGGCATTTTCCACACTGGAGAGACCCAGTGGCAGAGAGTCTACTCATGCCTCCAGAACCAGTGAAAAGTGGTGCTCAATTGGCAAAAGATGTCTGACCTACAACATGGATCAAAAAACACCCCCTTTGGGAAAAACCTCTCTCCAATTTAACTGTCCCCTCTCCGCTCTGCACCAGGTCCCTGGCTGTATTCAGTGATTGCCGAGTCCCCTGGGCCAGAAGTAGGACCCATCAGGCACACTGAGCCATTCTCCCAGCCTTGGAGAGGGAACAAGTTAACAAACAAGAATAAATAATCTACCAGCTTCCCTAAGCTGGGAACTTAGGGTAGGCACAGCTACTTTGTCTAGGCACAGACATAAGGGGTCCACGGATTTTGAATGCCTTTCACCCTGCACAGACCTCTGTGGGCCGATTTCAACAGCATAGGCCCTCATTACCACAGTACCACAGAGTATATACCTGAAGCCTAACTTCAACTGTATCAGCTATATGGTGGAGTGGCAGGTTCATGACATTTGACACTGGTCTGCCCATTAAGCAGGGTCCCCACCTACCCACATCAGGGGCTTGAGGACTGGTGGCTCCACACACGCCACCTAGCCACTGGCAACAGAGGTCCAAGAATAAGTGGTGCCTCCCAGTCCTCACAGCCAAAAGCATTGGGTGCCCACAGTACAGCTGCAAAACCCACCCACCTATGTGCTCTAGGGAACAGGGACATGCTATCCTCCCAGACACTCAGGGGCAGCGGTCAGCTCCCTGCCTTACTCAGTGCATGACTCCCTATTGCAGCTGGATACCTGTGCCTACACCAATCACCCATGCCTGTCTAGGACTGTAGGTAAAAGCCTGCACCACACACTTGGTGACTGACTACCTGGACACCTGAGCTGAATCCATACAAGAAAAGTAAACTGACTCCTGGGCTCACATACCTAGTAACAGATCTAACCACCTGGTGACAGGATGTTAGAGCTTCAGAGGTGCCAAATATCAAACTAGCTCACACTAGCAGCTTATTTGGGCATATCAAAACGAAAGAAAACAAGAAGATAGGACACAGTAAGCAAACATAAAATAAATAAATAATTTAGTAATGGCTCAGAGACAACAGTCAATATAAAATCACATAAAGAGGCAGACCAGGATGGCTTCAGCAAGCTCCCAAAACAAAGCATCAAGAAATTTCCCGGAGGAAGAGAACTTCCTGGAATTACCAGAGATAGAATACAAAAGATTAATATACACAACTCTTCAAGAGATCAGGAAGGAGATCAATCAAAATGCAGAACAAGCCAAGGAACACACAGACAAAGCAATAAAGCAACTTCAGAAGATTACAGAAGAGCATAATGACAAATCTAACAGGCTGCAAGAATCCATAGAGACAGCAATCAGAATTCCAGAAGATTAACAAAAAAATTTCAGAATTAGACAACTCAATAGAAAGTTATAGAAGCAGAATTGAGGCAATGGAAGTCAGAATTAGAGAGATTGAAGATAAAGCACTTGACATCAACTTATTTGAGGAAAAATCAGACAAAAGAATTTTAAAAAATGAAGAAACCTAAGAATTATGTGGGACTCTATCAAGAGGAATAACCTATGAGTGATTGGAGTACCAGAATGGGGGGATAACAGAAAATACAGAGCCAACTGTTGAAGATTTGTTGGCAGAGAACTTCCCTGATATCATGAATGATGACAAGATATCTATCCAAGATGCTCATTGACCCCCACACAAGCTAGATCCCAAAAGAAAGTCAAAAAAAGATATTATAATCAAACTTGCTAAAACAAAGATACACAGAGAATTTTAAAAGCAGCTAGGGATAAACGAAAAGTCATCTACAAAGGAGAGTCGATAAGACTAAGCTCAGACTACTTAGCAGAAACCATGCAGGCAAGAAGGCAATGAGATGACCTATATAAAGCCTTGAAGGAAAAAAATTGCCAGCCAAGAATTATATATCCAGCAAAACAGTCTCTCAAATATGATGGCGAAATTAGGGCATTTCCAGATAAACAGAAGTTTAGGGAATTTGCAAAAACCAAACCAAAATTACAAGAAATAGTAAAGGCATTCCTCCGGTTATAAAATCAATAACATCAGATAACAATCCAAGGCTAGAACACAGGACAGACCAACAAGATATTAACTCAGATAGGGAAGTCACAAAAATAAATCAAAGCTAAAACACTGAAAATAGGGAAACAGAGACATCAATAGGTAAGAGATGACAACATTAATACAAAAAAGAGGAACTAAAAAAACACAGTCATAGATCTTTCATATGGAAAGGAAGTCAAGGCAATATAAAGAAATAAAAGAGTTGTTTAAACTTAGAAAAATAGGGGTAAATATAAAGGTAACCACAAAGGAAACTAACAATCCTACACATCAAAAAGAAAAACATAAAGACTCAGCAAATACAAAATCAATAACAATGAAAAAGATGAAAAGAAAATACATAAAGAAAAATGACTCAGCACAGAAAATTAAGTGGAACAGAGAAACTATCAACAACACACACAAAAAAGACACCAAAATGACAGCACTAAACTCTTACCTATCAATAATTACACTGAATGTAAATGGACTAAATGCACCAATAAACAGAGAGTGGCAGAATGGATTTGAAAAAAAAACACGATCCGTCTATATGATGCCTACAAGAGACACACTTTAAACTGAAAGACACAAACAAACTAAAACTCAAAGGATGGAAAAAAACATATCAAGCAAACAACACTCAAAAAAGAGCAGGAGTGGCAATATTAATCTCTGACAAAATAGACTTTAAA